CAAGTATTCTCTCATTTTCTTCGTCCAATATTCGAAAGATGCATATATACATTAAGAAAAACGTGAACATATTGTACATTACACTTTGTACGATCGTAGTCACGTCGAGGGACAATAAAGGTGATATAATTTGTGATATACATATATAATAATAAATTCACGTAAAGCAAGACTTCAAGCTGTTGCTTTTCTACCTTAAATGACGGATGACAAATGGAAAAAAAAAAAGAGAATCAATTTATTTTGTTGCGAATTTATTTTCCATGTTATATATCGTTCTCTCTCAGATGGGGGTAGGGGAGGGTACATGGTTGTCTGTTATTTTTTTATTCTTTACGGCAGGGCACATAACGGAGGCAGCGTCTAAACATCAAATCCATTTATTCGTTCGATTCGTTATGGCTATTTTATTATGCTCTAGAGTTCTTAACGCTTCGCACGGTCGTTACATCGAGTGACTGGAGCACGAGACGTTAGCGTACAATAGATTCGCGATGATAATATTAGGTATTTCTGTTTTCCTCTCTCTCTCTTGAGCCTTTCCATAAGCGTCGTGATCCACTAAAGATATCCGAAGGGAAGAGTGCGCTTTAATCGTACGATACGCTCGCATGAATGATGATTTAATGTGTCTTCGAATATTCATCAGTGTGTAGAAGTTTTCAGTTGGAAACGATCAGGAGAAATTTATAGGCATTTCCTACGTAAAATTCGCGATGAATTATGCGATTAGGAAAGGAATGGTTCCACGAATAAGTCGAAAGCGAGTACGAATCTTTCCTCGCTCCATCACAAACCTAATCTTGTAACTAAACTGCCGAACGGAACGCGCTTAAACATGCGAAATTTCGAAATGAATTCGCTTATTATTTGCAGAAAAAAACCCAATGACGACGCGTGCCTCGAGTGACGTCTTCCGTTCCTCCGCATCTCCCAGATATGTGACGCGATCAGGCGGATTAATTAGCCAATCAAGCGTTCTCTCCGGTCCTTCTCTCGCGAGAGGATTCGATCACCCAGCCGGTACAAAGGACATATTTTTATCGAGCTAATCTGGGATATTGTCTAGAAGAGGAGCATGACAACAACATCGTCGTTTCTGCTTTCCCTGTCCCGCTGCTCCAGTCGTTTTTCTCGCGACGCATCGTCCGAGTTCGCTGTAACTTGCATGCCCCGTTTTTGTCGGCTCGATGAACTTCTAAAGATGATCGTCACGTATCGCGGACGCTTACACGCGCCTCTATCGATACTTTTACACCCTTATTAAAACGTCCGTCGCGCGGCGGGACCTCGTGGACCTGCCGGCGATCGCAAATTGGCTAAGCATGCAGAGTTTTAAATGGCTTCTCTATAACGCTACGAGACCAGTATGACTATGTGTACCAATCAGTGAGATAATAATAATATTATCGTACGCCACACAATTTCGCGTCTCCCTGCCTTCTCCATCTCCCTTTTTCGTCCCTCGCTCTCGCGCGCGTACAATCGAATATCTCCTCAGATTCTATCTGGCTCTGATATATAATCGCTGTACATTTTAATATCATGACTCGTTTCGGAAAGGTCTCTGCCAACCCCTCCGCGGTTTAATCGCCAAATCATCCGATCGCCTAAATGTGCGAACGCTCATCTAAAAATGTGCAAAACCCCGTACCGGGTTTATTCCGCAATATTTACAGTAATCTCGCGCGCATTGTGACTTACATGTAATAAAACTTGGTGTTTGATGGCAAAGCATTCTCCTATCAAAAAAAATGTTCCATTACTCGCGTTCTCCCCAACAATTTCCAATATCTTAAGATTACAAAGAGGAGATCGCGCGATAAAATCCCTTCGACAATGCGCACGCAATTTTTCACTCCTCGATCAAGGCCACATTCCTCGCATTCGCATTTTAATGTCGTGGGTATCGACACACTTCGTCGTCCATTGAAGACTGAATAGAAGCGGATTTCCGCAACGATTTACATTTCAGCAATGATTATAATTAAGGAACGACCGACCGACACGCACAATGCAGTATCCGGCTATACGTTTAACGTCGTACAAGTTATTGCGTATTATACGCAATTATCATATTTCAGAACGAGGAGGCAATCGATATCATATTTCGCGGCTCGGTCTCCACGAGAAAAGGAATGTCGAAAGTTTATCTGAGAGAGATCGCACATGCGTGGGATTACAACCGTAATCTGTCGTGCGGGAATTTATTATTTCGAAGCCGCGATATGATATCGGCTGCTCCGATCCCAAAGTATAATATTATAATTTCAATATTAGTGTATCGTGTCAGACCGACACTCGCGAGATCTTCTCGAGAGCGATTAATATACCCGATTGAACATATCTGTTTCGCTCGGAACAACGTTTTAGAATCTACCGATTGGAACATGAATCCCTGGTGTGTGAATTTCAATATATTGGGTCCCTGTATTTATATACCACTTCCTCCCCTTTTTATCCGACTGATCCCTTCATAATCATTCCACATCCGCGAATCTCTTACATTTATACATATTATGCGCGAAAGATCTCTCTATCGCAAAGGGAGGGGGGGGGAGGGGAAGAAAAGAAATGGAGCGCTTCGCGACTACTTGTCTCTCATTTCCTCTCCCTTTCTTTGCTATCTACTTCGCACAAATAAAATTATTCCGCTCGTGAGTCGGAAAAGAAGGTCAATGGGGATATCTCGTACATCAAGGGCTATACACAGTTCGCTCTATATTATCATTTGTTAATTAATTCCTTCTAACTATATCCTAACGCCAAGC